CAGTGGATAAATCCATTCGTGACACACAATTTGATAGCATTATTGGGAGCCGACAGAGGGGTTGGGTCTTAGTTGAAGGTAGTGGTGCATAGGTGCATGACTTGGGGACTAATCTGGTCCTAAGGCCCTACCTCTGGCATATTTTTGCTCTTTGTGCTTTCCAGATGCCAGGAGATAAACCATTTGGATCTTCTGTGCTTTTCTGCCATGACCTTTCTGCCTTGCTATGGGCCCATGGCAATGAGGCATGGACTAAAACCTCTGAAACTATGAGCCAAAATAAATCTTTCCTTCTCTAAGTTTTGCGAGTTATTGTGCCACGGCAATAAAAAGCTGACCTGCTAAACACTGGAAATTTGCTGTTGCATGAAGGACACCAGAATTCTGTCCTACTATAGGTGCACAGAGTGGTCTAGATTATTTCTGAATGCCTGATTGATGTCTTACTCTTGACAACCTATGCTATACAGAGAATGTGTTGAGCTTCAGCACATCACCCAAAGCTTCTTTTGCCTCAGTAGGACCAGAAACTCAGGAGATAAAATTTCTATATAAGGAGATCAGTACCTAGAAAGGGCTCATTCATTTCAAAGCATTTAACTGAAGGTTTAAGAACTTTCTTTTAGAGAATGTTCTATGTTTATTAAACTTGATTAGGACTATCAATGACATAACTAATTGTAGGCTGCTCAATTTCCTGCTGTTTCTCAATCGGTGTTAAAAATCAACTTCAGGAACAAACAGTCCTTGGGATAAGTCTGAATCAGTACAATTGAAATATAGTAACAATAGGGTAATTTAAAAATTATAAATGACCCACATTAATATTACTTAGGAAGGGGACACTTTATCAAAAGTTTCTTTGTTAACTGCATGCTTTTTAAAAAAGCATAAAACTTTGAATAAAATATCTATTCTTTAAAGCTTTCAGGCAATTAATGTGTTGGGTAACGTGAAATAGTGGGGACTATCGAATTTCATAACGTGAATTTTCTACTCAGAGAAGCAAGTCCTTGTTACACTAGCCTTCCTGGGTCATTTCAGTATAAAGTTTCAATGGAATGGAATTAAAAAAGTCTTCTGTGATTTTTTTATGGTAAACCTAGGAGACAGTTCTCAGAATTATGACTAGTGACAAAAGAAAATCTTACTTAAAGCAGACTTTCTAAACTTTTATTCTTTGTCATACGATTATAGTCAATAATATTTGTCATTAATAATTTAACTATCATTAATATTTTTTTGAATGACAAGTATCCAAAGGCATGAAGCTCTTAATTAAAACAGAGGTATTTATTAATGTTCACATGAAAATATTTTTGAGGTGATAATTATTTTAGTTATCTATTGCTACATAACAAATCACATATAAGTTAACAACTTAAGATAAAGGCTTTATAATATATATATATATTATATATATATATTTCTTTTTTGAGACAGGGTCTCATTATGCAGTTCAGGCTGGTCTTGAGCTCACTTGCAACAATCCTCCTGCCTCAGCTTCGTATGGTGTATGCAACCATGCCCAGATTTTTGTTTTCGAAATTTGTGTTTGTTCATAAGCCTGCAATGTGGGTTGAATAAATGAGTATAGATTATCTTTATTCCACTGAACTTCAGCTGGGGAGTCCAGAAGGCTGGATGTAAGGAGTATCTGAGGCTTTATTTGCTCAGGTCTGGTCATGGATGCTGGCTGTCCTCTGGGACCTCAACTAAGGCATTGCTGGAATATTATATGTGGCTATTCCATGTAACTACATGGATTCCTTATAATATGGTGGCTGAGTGCCAAGGTTGAGGACATCCCAAAGGAGCTATGTGGAAGATGCATCATCTTTTATGGCTGCTATGGTTTGGATATGAAACGTTACTCAAAGGCCCAGCTTGTGATGCTACTGGGAGATGGTAGAATCTTTAAAAGGTGGGGCATACCAAAGGAAGTGAGGTCATTATGTGGGATGGGGGTGTACGAATTTGAAAGGAGTATTGGGACCTTGGCCCTTTTTTGTCTCTCTCTTTGCTTCCCACTTGCCATGAGGTGAACAGGCCTCCTCTGTCATGAGTTCCTGTAATGCTATACTGTGCTGCCAGAGGCTCAGTGCAATAGGATCAACCAACCATGGACTGGAATCTCCAAAATTATGGGGCAAAATAAGTTTTCTCCTTTTTAAGTTGATTTATCTTAGGTGTTGGTTATAGCAATGATTTCCTTGTCACTGAAAAAAATATCCAACACCCATAATTTAAAGGAAGAGACATTTATAGCTCATATTTTAGAAGTTTCAGTGTTTGCACAACTGGCTGCATGATGGAGGGGCTGGGCAGGGGAAAGCTGCTTACCTCACAGTAGCCAGGAAGCAGGAGCTAGGAAGGGAGGAGTTGGGTATCGAGAGACACCATTCCAGGCCATGCCTCCAGTGACCGACTCTCCTGACCAGATTCCACCTAACAGCAAGTCAGCTGTAATGCCCCCATAATCTAATCACTTTCTAAACCTGTGAGGGGTTGGGGGTCATTTGAGATCTAAACTATAATATCTGACAAATGCAATGTGCTTCAGCAGGCACCTAACATTGATTCCACAGACACAAAAGTCCAGTCTACCCAGTTTTAGTACATGCTGCTGAAGTGAGTGTGAGTCCACCTAGTTTTAAGGGGAAGAAATAGCTCTCAGTGAAGAAATATCTCTCACTGGAGGAGAGTCCTAACCTTCAAGTGGAGGAGGGTCAGTATCATATGGTGAAAACATATTGTATGGAAATACATTGGAAAATATATCTACATTTTAGGAAAATATAATCTATGCTGGTAATGGGAAATCCACCAGATTAACTTGCTCAGTATTCTGCTTGAAAAGGAGCTGTTCTATTAACATAAATGAAAATGTGGCTATAAATCTTGTATCAATGTGCCTATATGTATATCAATCAGAGTCAATGCAATTTTTGCCTAAATGAAGTCAGGCAAGAAGAAGAGTAGGAAGAAGTAAGAACAAAATGATCAATCACGTTGATTCCTTTTCTTTTTTATTTTTAAATCTTTTTTTTTTTTAATCAGTACCGGGGATTGAACTCATGACTACATGCTTGCAAGGCAGGTGCTTATGCCACTGAGCTAAATTCCCAGCCCATTGATTCCTTTTCTGAGAGATAAAAATCAGAAGCCAAAGTAATCTAAGTGACTCTTCATCAAATTACATAACAATAGTACCAATTCCCCTCCTTTCAGGTGGTATTTTTGGAGGACAGATGGCAAAATCTGTGGTCCAATACACAGGCAATGCTGTTGTGTGATTGACTCATATTCTAATTCTCAGGTTGAGCAACATCTCTAACCTTACATAAATATTGAGGTGAAGAGAAAACATATATTTCCTTTCTGTTTTTCCCAAATTCCAATTTGCCACTCTTAAGAAAATCTGAGAGCCATCTCATGTGGCTCAAATGGTTTTACCCTTATCTTCTCAGTTTTTCTAGATTTAGGGTCCTAAACAATACATTGACACTACCTATATATTCTGCTTTTCAAAGAAACAGAGCATGACAGGGCAGTGAAGGGAAATTCCTTACACAGTTCACTATTCTAAATGACTTCTAATGAGAGCCTTTTGTACCTTTCTAAACTCTGCCTTTCATGTTGATGCTTTTATTCTGCTTTAAATTTGAGTTGCAAATTTCCTTTGCTTTGAATTTTCCTTTGGGATTTAAAAGCATTTCACCCTTTGATTTGTCATGAATATTCCGTTAGTGCCTCACAGCATTTTGTACAGTGGGCACATGTCTTCTCTATGGGTAAGGGCTAAGTTATAGATACATAGGCAGCACTCAGGATAACACTCGGAAACTGAAAGCCTACAGATCCTGGAAGTTATGCATGCACTATCTAGGGATGTCCAGCCAGCCTGGATATCCATTCAAATCTGATAGATGAGACCACAAAATAAGTTATTTCACACACTTTAGTTTCTTAAAGATCCTTCTGTCAAAAACAGTAGATTCTCTGTGACCTAGGTTCTATTCAGCCTAGGTGGGAACTGTTGCATAAAAGACATCTAGATGGAGCTGGGCACAGTGGTGGGGTCCTGCCACTCAGGAAGCAGAACAAGAGGATCATTTGAATGTAGGAGTTTGAGGCTAACTGGAGCAACATAGTGAGACATCTCAATAAATGTTAATTAATTTAAAAGTTCCAGATGATTTGGATATATCCAGGAATATTGGAAACTGGGCTTTACTTGTTGAGCATAGGTGGTCAGCCTGAAGTCCTCATGGTGGGCTGGGCAGGAGGTGGATGCAGTATTACTGGGGTAGGGGCTGCAAGCACTGGGTAAGGGCAGACTCACTACTGCCTCACAGTGCTGAGAAAACACTGGCGAATCCTTTGTCTCATCCATGGAGCAAGAAAGGGCTGTAAGTTCTACTGGACCAAGAGCCTTAATAACAACCAGGCGGGGAGCTGTCATCACTGAGGCAGCGTAAAGCTCCAGGGTATCAGTGTCAGCACCAAGATACCAACCAGACCACCTCATACACTGTGTCACTGTAGCAGAAGTCAGGGGGCTGAAGAAGCGCACAAGCATTTCTGGAGCACTTTCCACACGTTGAGGACTGTTTGAGATGCACCTATGAATTAAGTCATTCAAATCCTCATTACTGTGCAAGAGCATTCAATTTCTATCCTTCATCTTGCAGTACAAAATGAAAGCATGCAGCAGAGAAGCAAGTGCCCCCAAATTCTACAGTTGGCAAGTGGAATAGAGTTTTTTGTTTAAATGGCTTTTAACCCTGACAGTAAACAGCACATGGGCCAGACCTGCCCCTTTCTGGGTGGCGGAGTTACAGAAGTTACAGAAGCTTCTCACTGCAGTCACACAGGTGGCAGAAACTCTGCCTTCAAATTGACTGAATGTTTGTCAAGCTTCACTGAAAGGGACTTTCTAAAAAAGATAACAAGACAGTGTTATTAATATATAATTAACATACAATACAACCCACCTATTTAAGTGTATCGTTTTATTGTTTTGTTTGGAGACAAGATCTTGCTATGTAATTCAGCCAGGCCTCCAACTTACAACTTTGCCTCAGCTTCCTGAGTGCTGAGAAATGGGAATATACTGGCATGCCTAGAAAACATATGAATTACATATGAATATAATTATACATGAAAATATATGAATATACTTTTGTAGTTTTTATAAAATGATTTTTCTTATATTTACAGAATTACGCCACAGTCAATTTTATAACAGTCCCATCACTCCCCAAAGAAATTTGTTCATAGCTGCCATTCTCTACTCAGTTCCAGTGCTAGGTGGCTGCTACTCCACTTTTAATCTCTAAAGATTTTCCCAGGCTGGATATTTTATATAAATGGAATCACACAATACGTGGGTTTTGGTGACTGACTTCTTTCACTTAGTGTGACGTTTTCACGTTTATATCTATGCTGCAACTTATTATCAGTACTTGATTCCTTTTTACTGCCAAATAATATCTTGCTGTACTGTATCTCAATTTTATTTATTCATTCATCAGTTAATGGCATTTCAGACCTACTTTTTGAGTACCATGAATAATACATGAATATTCATGTACCAGCTTTTATGTAGACAAATCTTTTCATTTCTTTAGAGGTACTATTCATAGTCTTCATCTCTCTGTTATTTACATTTTCATTCTCTGCAGTTTCTTTTACAGAATCTTATCAATTTTTCTAGGCATGAATTTTTTGTACCTTATAAAACATATTTATTTCACATGTTACATGTATTCTATGACCATCCAACAAAATTTATTTAACTCAGTACTGGATGTTGGAAAGACAAGATAAAGAGTATAGGGATCAAAGCAAATCTTGAATTAGAATATTTTTAATATGTATTATAGCACAGACAAACGTGGTGTTTTGAGGGTACAGAGAAGGGAAACCTTCTTGCCAGTCAAGGATGTATTACAGCATGTGTGATACCTGTGTAGCTCCTCTGAACAGTAAAGAGAGCGTGGGGACAGAAGGGTATTGTAGGATGAAGGACAATATGTGCTAATGTCCTGGGACAGAAAGAGCACAGCTGAGTTTGCAAATGTGGGGGTAAAAGCTGTGGCATACAGTGCCTCCAGTGGGGAGGTAGCGTGGTGGCAGGTAAAGTGAGAAGCCAGGCAGAGATGAAATCACAGTGGAACTCCGCGGTCTTTTTAGGGGCTTGGATTTAAAGTCTGAAAGACTTCACACTGGAGGATTAACTATTACTAGAGCATTAAGGGCAACATGAACTTCTGAAAAACTGAAACTTGCAAAGCACTTCTGAAATAGCTTTATTATTATATTTCATGATAGAGTGCTTGACAGCCAGACAGCCTAGGATGGTAGTTGAAAGAACCTCGTGCAGAGGAAGAAGGTTTCGCCAGGTGTGACTGCTTTGCTGGTATTCCCCATTTAGTAGTGCACGTCTCAGTACGGAGCACTTTAAGTTCTGTTTTGTTCTCGAGGGGATCACTTCGCTTAATAAAGTTCATGACCCCACCATTACCTTTCCACGGTTTTGATATGTTCTGCATTAAGCTCTACAGTGCCACACAGAAATGAATAACACCCATGGACTCTTCTTTGAAGATCTGTTTCAGCTTCTCCAATGCCTTCTTTGAGTTCTGCAGTCAGCATTTCTGTCAAACAGGGATCCCTGGACGGCCTCACATCCTTTAAGGGCAGAGCTCTGCCTTGACAGAAGGACCAGCTCACTGAATCTTGCCAATTTTTACTCAGAGTTTTGCCATAAAAAAGAGAAAGTCAGAAAAAGAAAGAAATATATAAGAATATCAAGGAAAAGTCCACAAAAGAAGATAATAATATAATTAATTCTGACAGAGGGTTGTAATTTGGAGATAAATAGAAAAATAAAATAATTGATTTTAAATTTTATAGACATATGTATACAATAATCCAGATGAGTATATTTTAGTTGTTAATATATACATTGCAAGTCCTAAAACAATCACAAAACTGCAAAGAATCCCCTGGCACTTTAATAGTTTGTAGCAAGGCTATGTATTCTTACTCATTTAATTAGAAAACTCTGGAATTTTTCTTATATGTCTGTCTAATATCATAGTTAGTATTACCTTCTGTCCCTTCCACTCTTCCTTCTTAGTGGTTAAGATCAATGCCTGTAAAAATTAAGATGTGTTATGGACATGTACAATCTCCTCACAATGAATGTAATCACATGTATTACATACATGTACTAGTAAAAATTTAAAAATCACAAAGATCATTCTTTCCAGTTTAATAATTATGCACTATAGAGTTCACTATAATTTATCAAAATTCATATGGATATTCAAGACTAATGCTGTTTCAGGAACAACAAAAAAATTTTCATTCAAATGCAACTAGATCAGTTAAAGTTCAGTTTACCCTGGAAAACAGAAAACAGTTTGCACCAATGGGAACTACTGATACGTTGCTGAATTTTAACCAGATGCATCCAAGTTATGTTTTTATTTATATCTTTAAAAGAGGACATTATGAGGGCATAGAGGAAATAAATGAAATACTTACATATACTTATATATACATATATTAAACATATATTAAACATCATTTAAATATATTTGCATTTTCTTATTTAGTATTTGCTGAGGCATAACTTACACAGGATGAGGTACACTAATCTTAAATACACAGCATAAAATTCTACATATGTACAAAAGCTTCTAATTCATGCAGATCAATATATATAATATCTCTAGTACCTCATACCTCCAAATGCATTAACTCACCTCAAGAGTAATTACTATTATGCCCTTAGTGTTTTTGCCTACTGTAGAGTTCTGTCTAAATGGACTCAAACAACACAGACTCTTAAGGTCTGACTTCTTGTGCTCATATTGTGTCTATGAGATTCACTTATGCTTTATTTATTTATTTATTTATTTATTTACAATAACACCTGGTCAGTTTAAGTCATTCCCCTATGATTTTTTTTTCATATAGTCCTGAATACTCTAGATCTTTGCATCTCCATTTAGATTACAGAATCTGACTGCAAGTTTCCATTAAAAAAAACCCCAAACAACTACCCCAAAATGGCTAGGATTTTGATTGGGGTATCATGGAATATAGACTAATGTCAACTGATATCTTTAACATAAAAATGGTGACTGTTTAATCCATGAACATGGTATATTTTCTCACTGAATGTGATTTTCTTCATTTCTCCCAGCAAAATTTTAGTTTAGGTCTTATAGATCTTTCCTTATATTTACTCTAGGTATCCTAGGATGGTATTTTCTATGCCAATGAAGGTAATTTATTTTAATTTTTTTTCTATTGTTTGTTCCTATGTATAAATTATAAAAGTCTTCATCATTTAATAGCATATTTTCTGGGTTTTGCTGAGGATTAAACTCAGGTCCTTGTACGTGCTAAGCAAGCTCACTACCACTGAGCTATATCTGCAATCCTAACTGCTTATCTTTACCTTGAAAATATAAAAATTATCATTTTTAATTGCACTGAAAGTTATCAAATGTTTAGAATCAAATTATCAAAAGTTGTATAAGATCAATCTTTGAAAACTAGAAAGCATTACTCATTTAAAAATTTAAAAAAACTATGTAAGTGGAGAGATATTTGTTGTACATGCGCCGACTCAAAGTTGTCAGTTTTCTTTAAATTGAACTTTAGAGGCAGCAAAATATACCACTTAAACACTCAGAAAGACTATTAATAACCGTCTAAAATTCACTTTAAATGTTATGGTTTGTATCTAGCTATCCCCCCAAAGCCTCAGGTGCTCATACGTGGGGTTTTTGGAGGTGGCTGGATCTAGGGTGTGTGAATGTGGATTAAAGGTATATTAATATGGATTAGGGGTGTGACAACTGGATTAGTCAACTGATTGGTTAGCATAGTCCTGGGTGTGGATAATGAAGGCCCACCCTGGGTGTGGGTGGCACCAACCAGTAGGTTTGTAGTATGAATGGATTTAAAAGGAAAGGAAGACTCACTGCTGTTGCTTTGGTGATTTCTCCCTGCTAATCAGTTGACTAATCCAATTGTCATGCCCCTAATCCATATTAATACACCTTTAATCCACACTCACCATATTATTGGTGTTAAACTACATAAATCACTACATGAATAAACAGAAAGGAGAGCCTCAAAATAGGCTCATATTGGACAAATAATTTTTAAAAGATGCAGATGCAATTCAGTGGATAAAGGACCCTTTTAAAATAAATGGTGCAGGAACAATTAAATATTTTTAAGGAAGAAACTTCGGTACAAACTTTATGCCATGTACAAAACTGAACTGAAATGTATACGTTATAAATAAATCTAAATGTAAAACCCAAAACTAAGGAGAAATTTTTTCCCTTGGATCAAGCAAAGATTTTCTTAGATACATAATCAGTAACACAATTAGTTAAAGAAAAATTGATAACTTTGCATCAAACTAAAAAAACTTCTAAATATACTGTTAAAGAGATTGAAAAGTTGAATTCATACTGGAAGAAATACTTTCAAACTATGTATCAAATACAGGTAATATGTTTAGAATATGAAAAGTACCTTTCGAGCTCAACAATAAAACATACATCTGTGTTGATGATATGGTTCAGTGACCCCAGTACTTGTGGAGAATGAGCAAGGCCCTGGGTTTGATCCCAGCACCACACACACACACACACACACACACACACACACACACTCAAAACCACGTTAAAACAAACAAACCACAAAAAACCAAAAACACAAAAGGGCTGGGAATGTAACTCAGTAGTAGAGTACTTGACCATTTTATGGGAGGCCCTGAATTTGATCTTTAGCACCAAGACAAACAAAAGACCCCATTACACATTAATGAAAGATTCAAATGGATTCTTCACCCAAGGAATATAGGATTCTCAGATAATTACAGCCAAACAATGACAGCACAAACCGTTCTTTTTGATGAACTAACACAGATTAGTAGCATAGTTATCATTAGTAATATAGTTATCTTGTACATATACATACATACATTTATATATGCATACCTATATACATATAATCTTTTCCTCTTTTCCTTTTCTCATTTCCCCTATCCAAGTTGTTCTTTCCTTTTGAGAACTTTCCCTTTTATTATTACAATATCTATTGTACATTTTGGATATTATTCTTTTGTTTTTAAATTTTTTTTACACTAGGGAGACTATGATAATTATAAATGTGAGTTTGATTTATTTCACTTATGAGCATGATCTCAAGTTGCCTTCATTTACCCATAAAACCCTCAAGATTATCCCTTCGATAGCGGAGTAATTCCATTGTATAAAAATACCGCATCTTTTTAATACTTTGTATGGTTGATGGACATTTGGGTTGTTTCCAAAATTTAGCTATTACAAATTGTGCTGTTAGAAACACAGGTGCACATATATTGCGATGGCATGAAGTTTTCGTGAGTAGCTTCTTAAAAAGCTAAAGATAACCTGTCACATCATCTAATCATTGTTTCTAGGTGTTTACCCAGGAGAAGTAAAAGTTTATGTTTACACATATATTTGTACACAAATATTCACACTAGTCTTATCTGTAATAGCCCAAATTGGAAACAAACCAAATATCTATCAACAGATTGATGGAAAAACAAATTGTTGTATATACACACACTGAAATCTTCTCTGCCAAAAGAAGAAAATAAAAAGGAATGAGCTATTAATTGGAGTACCTACATAGTTGAATCTCAAATAATGATGAGTTAATAAAGATTAAAAAAAAGAATACAAGCACTCTTCATTTAATGACCTGTTTAAGGACTGTTCCTACTTATGACTGAGGCATGCTGTTTGGAAGTCTGACCAGCCACTTGGGACTCATGACTCATCTTTTTTTGTACAATTCTGTACATCTTGTTTATATAGGCTCAAATGTTTTTTCACAATGCACCTTGTTTATACAGTACTGTAATATTTGCTGATCACACTATAGCACAGTGCTATAGTTTTATATTGTTATACATTATAACAGTGCATGTAAGTTATGCAAATAAAAGCACAGTCATCAAGGTGAAGTTCCGTTTGACCATTTCTTTGTTCTGAATATTGTAATGTAGGGTTGTATCATTGCTGACATAGAATCGAATTATATACCAGCTCCTAGGCAGGAACATTGTTTCACAACTGATTTACCTCAGTGATGTATTTAAATCGGTTATTGGCAATTACAGTGGGGTGGAAGCTGCCACTGCATGCTCAGGGCCTTGCACAAGCTAGACAGCCACAGGCTACACCCGCAGCCTTTTCTAACATTTTAGAGAAGGTCTAAGCTGCCCAGGTTGGCCTGGAACTTGTGATTCTTCTGCCTCTGCCTCCACTTCAGCCGAGATTACAGGCTTGTGCCACCAAGTTAACTAACAACAATATTCTTTCAAACACCTGTGTTTTGTGCTAAATCCTTTTATGTGAATAAATTATTATTCATAATGCTATGAGCTACATACATGGTATTACGATATTCACTTGGGATGAAATTCATTTGATAAAGAGGCTGCAATATTAAAATTACTTAAAAATATAAAGTAAACATTTAAAAGATACACAAAATTAGCAACTAACTGTCTTTTGTATAAAATTTTGTCTTGGGGCCATACTAAACAGCAATCAGTGATAAGAACTACCATTTGGTGTCATTCAACAGCATGTATAAATTTTTATGCAAATCACTAATGTGAATTAAGTTTGTATTATTCTTATTTCTATTGTAAATTTTAAAAAGCCGAGTAATCTCTCAAGTTATTGCTATAAAGTGACATCGGTTTTGACGTAAGTATCACCATTTCAAAATACAAGGTAAAATGAAGATGTTTATTCAGTACAATTTTTTTCCACAGAATTATTAATGTTCTAAGGAATGAGGACATTTAATAATACGTTACAATAACAGGTATCCACGTTTTATCACGACCACCTAATGCCAGTGCTATGTCTAAAGAGCTACATTTTATAGTGTTAGCATCATACACATGGTTACGTGTTCAATGAACGCTCAGTGAATAATTCTTCCTGCTAATGAGGATCATGTACATAGCTAAGGGCTGAGAGTTATTTAAAGATATTAATGCTGGATCAGGTTTATTCGTGAAGCCATACAAAAGCATGGTGACTTACTGTAGCTACATTCTAAATTTAATCACCTTGCTTATTTAAAAAAATCTTTTTTCTTTCTAACGTGTGGACTAATTGTTATACCACATTCATGTGTTTGTTGAATGACCATCACATCCCCAAATAAATGAAATAAAAAATGAAAGTCAGATAACAAGCCCCTGTTATTGAGCGCACAGGCAGTTTTTCCAGATTATCAGAAACTAAACTAAAAAAAAAAAAATAGTCCAGAATGTCAGCCTAGATCTAAAATACCCGCTCCCGACATTTAGTCCAAACCATTAAACTGTAGGTGGTGGAATTTCCCGATTTTGAAATCCAGTTCAGCCAACCTGCCCTTAACCCAGGAACCACAAAAAGTGTTCCTCCCGGCTCCCGGATCCCGCAGTATGCGCAAGAGTGCGCATGCGTACCCTGGGAGGCGCTCTGTGACCCTGAGAGGTTGCCGTCGCGCACTGCGCAGATAAGACGTCGGCGTGCGCAAGCGCTCATCGCAGCAGCCTGTCGGAAGCCAAGATGGCGCGTATGGGGTCTCCAGGTCGTAGTTGGCGCCTTATCGGCATCTGAGCTAACTAGTTTGGAAGGGGCTGTGGCAAACACCTTCTCCACCGTCATGGCCCGGCATCGGAATGTCCGAGGCTATAACTACGATGAAGGTAGGTGACAGGGCCACGCTGGGACATTTCTCCGTTCAACTGGTATCTGGATTGTTGGCATCCGTTTGGATCAGTGTTTCTTTACAGTGGCCGGGACTGATACTTCGGGTGGCTCCAAATTGGGGAAAATAACCAAGCATTTGAGAGCCAGTGAATGGAGTTAAATTGTTGTTTTTGCCCTCTGGAATCGATCTTGTTTAGGAAGAAGGAGGTGCAGTACAACGTATGGGACGGATACTTGGCGTATTTGGTATCCTGTGCTATTAGACACGAAGCACAGTCATTTATTTCATTGTTTTTTTCCGAGGCTGGCAACTCATGTGCCTAGTTCCAGCTTCTCTTCCCAGAATCTCTTAAAAACGTCCTGGAAACTTTTTACTTGTAAAACAGATTGACCTAGTGCCAGTGTTAGCTAATCTGCTGTAACCATGCATTTACATGTTAAAAACTTTCCAATGTCTCTTAAGTTTTTAGTACAGAACATAACTTGACCTGATCTTTTTTTAAACACGTTTCAAACTGGGGATGTAGAAGACAGTAGAAAAGAATTCCATCAGATAATCTTGAGGGGTTTACTCAGATTTTGACTGATAATGCGCAATATAAATATACGTTGAAATGGAAATAATCAACAGTAGAGGAAAAGACAATCAGAACACTGATTTTAAAAATGAAATAAAAACCTGTATGTGAATATTCTCTAGGAGTTTAAATGGAGTTAGAGGTTTTAGGAGGACATCATATAGTAGATAATTATAGCATCACCAAGCATCATAGAAACTAAAAATATAAATAATTATTACTAATGTAGGAGAGAAATACAGACCTGTTTTTTTTTTTTTGTACAGTGCAGAGCAGACAGTGCTTACTGTATTGGTAGTTATTATTAGTACCCCTGTTCTAAATTGTTCTAGAACATTAGTATTAGTGTACTCTACTGGTGGTGGGGGACCAGCAACTCAGGCTACCTTTAGAGATTGAACCAGTGTACCTGGTATGAATTGATTTTTCTGGTATTTGTTTTAGAGTGGAGGTACTTTTAAGTAAGTATTGTGTCTGTAAATATTGACGTAGTGGCCACATATCACCTGAGAGATGGTTTTAGACTGAGAGATGATTTTTTGTAAATGTGAAATAAAGGAAATGAATGAGGCTTATTGTTATTTCTTTAATAATTATTAGTTTCTCAACCAATGATAATTGAGTGCTTAGAGTACTGTTCCAAGGCTGGCAAATAATATTATGAGGAGGTCTCTGATGAGATAAGAGTAACATATGTTTGAGAGTATGAGTGATACTACAGAAAGTAATGACAGTGAGGGCTATTTAGAAGACCCTGTAAGGGTTATATAAAAGAACATCTGAACTGAACGTATTAGGGGTTTAAGAGGGATGTCTACCGCAAGTAAAGCTTGCTGGAAGAGAGGTGTTTGACCTCAGGGAATGGTGTAAAATGTCTTCTCACCTTGAGTACTTGAGATAAGATTGTCTTGATTCTTTGGAACAGTTGGTGACATCATAACCAAGTTGTCCTGTAGCATATGAGTTTCATCCCTTTTTTCTGCTTAGAAAATTTACTTATCTTCAGGGTCCAGTTTCTCTTCTTTCCAGTGAGGCTTTTCCTTGGAGTTTCAGAATAATAAAGTGAAAATCTGAAGAAATAATTTAACTTCATTGGAATCTGTGTTCTAAATTGTTAGCTTCTGATTTATAACTTTCACTTTCTTTTTCTCTGTAATTTGGCTAGTACTTTATATGACTGCCTCAGCTACTAGTTTAAAAGTTCCACTTTAATTTTATACTTAGCCTAGTAGGCTGGCATAATGTCTTCTATTTAGTAAACACTCCAAAATTTTGATGTAGAAATCAATCACTTTACCAAGATTGCAGGAGAAAGAATTTTATTCATCTTTTTATACTGTGGCACTTCAATTTTAGTATTGACATATTGACCTGGTAGAAATGATGCTTGTCTTAATACCTAACATACCTGTTTGTGAGTAGTCCCTCATTTATTTGCTAATATATTGTTTTTTTCTCTGCCCATAGCATTTGGTCTTAGCTTTTGAGCGTGCTATGTCTGCTGCACGAATACACTCAAATATTGACTAACTTGTGTTGATCATACTGGCATATGCCTAATAATCCCAGCATTTGGAAGGCTGGGGCAGAAGGATTGTGAGTTTGAGAGTTTGAGATCAGCTTATGCTATACATGGGGGTTGTCTCAGAAATCCAAAGTGGGAGTGAAAGAGGCAGGAAGTTTAATTCTGTTTTTGTGGTTTGTGGATGTTATTATATTCCTGGGTATCTTTTCTTAACCTTCTCATTACTAGTACTACTTTTGTTCATATGTTTTTAACAAATTGTTCAGTGTTTCTTATACTGATTGCTTATATGATCTTGTAAGTTGTCTATATTCTTAACTGTATTCTCTGTCAGAATTTTGGTTTGGAGAGAACTGGGAATGTGCCCACTTTTACACCAAAGGCCTCCCTCTCTCTGTCTCCGTCTCCGTGACCGTCTCTGTCTCTGCCTGTGTATCTTTCTGTCTGTCTGTCTGTCTGTCTCTCTGTCCCTGGTATTCATTTTAGAGTGTTAGTATTTGTTGAATCATTTAGTGAATAAATTTACATAATATTAATGCCAAAAGTGTGACAGGTAGTTTACTAAAACAACTCTTGCCCTGAAGGAACTGATGGTTTCACAAAGTGAAACAGGTGTGGTGATTCAAAGACAGTAGATTGGAGGAATGTGCTAGAAGGTAAAGATAACAGAAGGGCTTGCCACATTACACAGAATAGTCAGGGAGGATTTCTACAAAGAGGTGACATTTAAGCTGCATCCTTGACTGGGGGAAAAAAAAAAAGAAAAAACAGCTTTAGGAAAATCTAGGCAAAGAGCATATTCTATTAAATAAGAAAAAAGGTCTGTTAGCTGTCAACTATGAACACAAGGAGACTTAGGGTTCAACTGGCTTATGTAAAAGTTATGTGAAAGAATATGGAATATCAGTAAATACCTACTTTGTAGGTAAAATTCTTAGAATTGTTTGAAAAGTAGATCTGAGTTCCTTTAATTTTGATAATTTTATAGAGAAGCATATAAAAAAAGCTTTGTACATAAATTTGTCTCTTTTGTTTCTGTTTCAGATTTTGAAGATGATGATTTCTATGGCCAATCAGTAGAGGATGATTATTGTATTTCACCATCAACAGGTGAATTTTTAACAATAACTTGATTTCCTTGATTTGTGTTTAAAAATATCTGGTAAATATTGTTGTCATTCTAGGACCAGAGTGTTCCATAAGACTTAACATTTAAAAAGAAAAAGTAACATTTAAAATGATACATATATGTTAATTTTTAAAGATATGTATAGTAATTTCTTTAACCATGAGTTTTAAACATTTTTATTTCATCATTTAATTTTAAACAGTTTTAGTGCACATCTGTAATCCCAGGACTTGGTAGGCTAAGGGCAGAGGATTGCTCTGAGTTTGAGACCAGCCTGGCCTACAAAGTGAATTCAAAGCCAGCCTGATCTGCATAGTGAAACCTTGTCCCCAAAAGACAGCAGAACAAAACAAAAAACTCAAAAACTCCCCCAGAAAATTCTACAGACTGGTTTTTCCATATTTATTGCAACATAGAATTAATCTAAATGAACCATAATGGTAATTTAGTTGATAGTGAAATTCTAATACTTCTGCAGATAGATAGCAGTTGGTTTTGTATTCCCAAAATGGGATAGACTTTGCTTATAATGCAGGACTCTTAATTTTTTTAATTGCTATACATATTTGCAGGTTATAGTGTGATATTTAGTATTTTAGCTTAAACACTAACAGCTCTGTTGTTAAAGTCTTGTAAATACACTGTATATATGTACTTCAGGCTTCTGATAGATCCACAGATGTAAAATTTGAATTCCTGTGTGATTCTGCATCATCTACAACTTCTATCTCATCTTTCAGAGATCCTTCTGTCATCATACAAAGAAAACATCCATGTTCTTTGTAGCAAAGATTGAAGTTTTTACCTTTCATGCATTTCTCTAACCATATTTTTATTTAAATTTCAGCCTACTGTATAAAGAGTGAGTGGAAATGCCTTGTTAAATTTTAATATAGTATTTGAACCAAGGTACAGTTTACTTATAAATAGGTGTGGCATAAAGTATAGAACTCATTTTCTAAAAGTCTAAAAACTTAATATAATTAACATTACTCCCTGGGTCCAGTGCCAGTGTTGTATGAGAGTGAGGCTCTAGAGAGACTCCCTTTGCCTTTGTTCCATACGAGCACGCAGTAAGTCGGAACTCTCTATGAGCCAGAATCTGCCTTGATCTTAGACTTTCTAGCCTTTAAAACTGTGAAAAATAAATTTCTGTTGTTTATAAACTTTTTATATTGTATTTTGTTACCATCTTAATCTTCAGACATCTTTCCTATTGTTTTTAAATGAAATAAATAAATTTTTAAGGAATTTTACATGTAGTTCCTTTAGTGTTCATCAAGATCACTTTATTGAAGTTATCCTTGCTTGATGATAGCCATTGTTAAAAGAATGATGCTTTATGCAGTCATCTTATCTGCTCACTTTTTTTTTTTTTTGTATCTCCACTTGAATTATGGACAAACAATGGCAGCTTCAGAATTCCTGGAATCTTAAATCCAAATTTCTTCTAGCAATTTACACTTTAGGAACACTCAGGGTAGGTAGATCTGCCTTGCTGTGACACTGTCTCTGAACATGCATGAATTCATATGCATTTCCTAAGC